AGCACGAGGCTGATAAGTGAAGTAAAAGACCGATAGATCCGGATGCGAAGTGTTTCATTGTAGCAGAGCCGGCGGCCATTAAAGACACAAGCTTTCACCCTTCCACGCATCTCACACCTTCTGTGCTTTATTCGGGCGACCTTGGTCGTTGCCGTGCCCTCTCGACCGAGCATGCTTGCCACCTCCTCTATTGAATTTACCACCCCTAAAGAAAAAAAGCAAGCAGCAGATAACCATGGAAGATTATGTAAGAGACCAAGCGAACATCCATTATCAGTTTTCAGTATAGTTGTTTATAAAGCAAAGCAAAAAGCCAACCTTCCACGGTTGCCCTTAAAGTCGCGATGATGCTTTTCTTGATTGCTGCGGAGTAGCCTCCAATACTCCTTCTCAGCCTCACCTGATATCAAAGGAATTTAACTTTACAAGCATCCCTCCTCCCTCCAATTCAATTATACCAAGTTTAAAAGGATCAATTGGATATGGAAACAAGCAATGAATTGACCATACTAACATTGAATGACGAGAAGACATTCATCAGCATTGATGATTCTAGTTGTGCTTTAGAGAAAAGCTTTAAATGAAACTACGCCAAGTGATATTGCTAATAGATATTCTCCTTACAATCATGATTAACAAGAGAGAGAAACCATTGCCAGTAACTATAGACATTACTTTACTTAAGAGAACATTGAAACTTTGTATGGTACCTGATACTGGCTCTAAAGTGGCTATAAAACTCTTCACAGCCAGCCCCCCTTGTTCGGCAAGTACTGCAGCCGCACGAGCTTTCTGGGCAGCTTCAGGCTCTTCAAATCTGATATAGCCCGACTCGTCTCCAATCTTAAAATCGATGAACTTGACAATCCCAATCAAAGAAGAGAGGGGGAAAAATAGGAAAACCCAGATGGGTCAGAACAAATTATCTTTATATGAGAACTGAAAGCAGAAAAGTGATACAAACGTCATGAGCATGGATCAAAGTCCAAACAGTCTTTGAAGAAGAAGTAGAGAACAAAGAATTTAAGATAAGTATTATTGAAACATTCTGTTAAGCACAATATATGAAGAAGAATCTATGACATACCTTGACGCTTCCAAACTTCTGAAAAATAACCTTCAAATCCTCACGCGAAACCACATTCATGTTGTTTTTGAATTTAGCAGCTGTGGGTTTTTCTTCATCCTCTTCATGTTCATCGACGGTATCATTCGTAGTCCGCTCTTCCACTTCGGGTTTTTCTTCATTGCCTAAGTCATTTTTCTTATCAGCCTCTCCATTGTTATCATCAGCACTCTTAATCTCTTCATCTTTACTCATATTTGCTTCTTCCCATATTTGCTTCGTTTTCTCAGAGTCATTCTTTGAGGAATCTAATCTTTCGTCTGTTTTGCATTCGGTCTTATCAGCGGCTACACAATGAGATCCATTTTCCTCAGCAGAACTTCCAGATGACACACTTTTCAATGTAAAGGCAACAATTAAGCCTTTAGGATAGCTGCAATGACAATGAGTAAGATCATGTGATGTGCAAAAAGGAGGTGTGTATGGCTAAGAATATTAGATCTTGCTACAAGCCTATACTACATACTTTGATTCTGGGGGATTATTATTCTTGCGGTTTGCACTCGAGTTTGCGCGTGAACTTTCGAACTCCTCTGTCTCTTTTGCTCTCTCCTTATCAAAATCCCTCCTGAAATGGAAATAATCTTTACAAACGCAATTGAATGATATGTCAAAGGGAATATTAAATCCATGCTTAAAATTGCCAAACAAGCTTGGGTAATCAATGTGTGCACATATATAGCATCAAAGTTCACAAAAAACAGCGCTTAAAAGGCAAAAGTCTTAAGAAAAGGCACATTTTTTAAGCCTCGAGGTTTTCACCTCATAAGAAGATATTAAGGTTTAGATAAACTTCAACGATGGCTGGAAGCAAAAAAGAAAAAAGAAAAAAAACTAATTTTCAACATACAGAAGTAAACTAAAGATATAACCAAAACATAGTATGGAATCTGGCAATTAATCATTTTGCCAGCCTATAACTATTTTACCATTAAACCTTTTTAAAAGGTCACAAGAAAAGGTTAAAGAATACAGAAATCCTATTGATGATTGGCTACAACGTTTAGAATCTACAAACTAATCTAAAGCTAAGATTGCAACAGTTTGTGGATATAAGGTTTTAATATTGTAATTATAATTCTTACAATTCATAATGCATGGTTTTAAAGTTATGAGTATTGTTTCTTATTTAAATTGAGGTTTATGACTGATACACCCAGAGGTTCATCGTTCGATTGAGACGCAAAAGAGTAGGAAGAAAATGTAGATGTGCGTGCTTATTGTATTTCAAAACACACTTACTTTGGCTTCAATTCTAACTTGGCACCGGCATATAGCAAGCTCTCCTTCAAAACTTTTTCTGCATCTTCCTCGTTAGAAAATTCTACCAAGGCAGTTCCACAGAAAACCCGTTTATCTGCAACATGGCGCGGCAGCCTCACACTGTTGACCTAAAAAACAGTAGGAAAATTCTTACATTCAGCAATATAAATGAATATAAATAAATAAATAGGAATCCAACAAAGGGCCGTGATAATGACCCAATTCAAACCGTTAGAACAGGATTTTGAGTATTATGAAAAACAAAAATAACGAAAGAGTCGGGTTAAAAAGTCTGAAGATCCAGGAAAATGGGAGGAATCATAGAATTGCATTTCATATTTTAAAACTTCCACAAATCGTCAGTTAGTGGGATAACATAAAAGTAGTGCGCAGTTTCCATATTCATTTGAAGCATGATTATTTCAAGCAGATCAGTTACCAGTCTGTCCAAAGTTTGGTTCGTCGTCAGGACGATATCAAGATTAAGTGGGAAAGAGTATCACAATCCATGATGCAATTGTGCCCCCAAGAATTCATTGAGGACGATAACTAGATTAAGTGGGAGATAATATTACAACCTAAGTAGGAAGGGTTTAGGGTTTAGAAGAGAGAGAGAGCTATTTGGATAATCTAGCTAAACCTAAGGACATTCAGGAGCGAATGATGAAACGAAAACATTGCATTAAATAATACCAATACCAACAATGACATTGGGAATAAAATATTTACCTTTGCAATTTGATTAAAGAAAGCTTCTACATCTTCAAGCTTGACATCATATTCAAACGGTGATGCAGCTATGGTTTTATCATCCAATTGTTCTATTAACTCTTCAGGCTTTGGGAGTTCAGTAGTTCTACCAATCTTCTTCCCTGGACCATACAAACCCGAACTCAAAATAATGATATACTCCAGAACAATCTGTAATTTGGAATCATACAAAACAGGTAATTATAGAGGAGGTACTAATCTGAAATTCTATGACAACTTGCGGCATTTTTAACATTTTTAATTTATTAATTTATTTTATTTTCATGATTATGTCGGGATGAATGACACCAACATTTAGACCAGCCTGTCCACGAAATTGAAACCTTAACTGTTACTCCTGCTAAGTAGTTTTCTTCTTCTCTCATGAAATTGTGTGATGCAACAGATAAATTCATAACGATGCACTAATGGCTAGAAAATGCGTTGGTTTTTCCATAACTCCAAACTACGCATTTCATGCTACACAATAACAAATGAAAATTCCACAACTACTCAGCATTCAGATAAATGTCGAAATACATCACTTATTTGTGAAAGAACTAACCATCTTCAGAAACTTTGATAGTTGAAGAGCTTCTTAGAGTTTCAGCGACGGCCTTAAGAGTATCTTCTGGAATCTCCTCTGGTTTCACGTCCTGCTTCAATTTAAGATGTCCTTTCATCCGAGAAAACGTACAAATTAAAGACAAATCGACCACTGTAATTGCACAGTTAAGAACAACGAAGAACCTTCGAAAGGAGTATCCAAAAAATAACACTAATCCAAATTAAATTTTAAAACAAAACAGAACCAAAGATGAAAAATGCAAAAACACATATGATCAGAACGTGAAGGATACTTCCATCGGGGATTCCGCTAATAGTTTTCTTAAGAAAACCATCTCTAGGAAGATTACTGTCACTGAAATAGAACTCGACCTGCAGAATAAACATAAAACCGATGAGCATTTGAAAAGGATCGACTATAACTCGAACAAATATAGATTTTGAACGCATTTAACCTGACGAAGAACTTTCTTCGCGGTCTCTTGATCGAGAGAAGAATTCTCCATGATTGGGAAAAAAAAAAAGCTTGAGCCGGAGAAAAAACGCGCGCGGTAAGGCGAGAAGAAGCAGAGAGTAGGGTTTCGTTTATTATTATGCTTGGAATATAATAGCTGTATTTTGTGTTGCATATTAATGACATCAAATTTTCATATAAATTGTCAAAATAATGTTAATTACATTGGTTCGAACGCGAGACCTCCGAGACCTTGTGTTTTGATGTCAAGCTAAATTATGGTTCAACTCAAATGACAATTACATTTAGTTCATTTAATACTCAATATCGACAAAAATACTTAGACCTATTTTCTTATTTTTCTTAATTATTTCTCTTATATTTCTTAATTAAAGGGAAAATTTACTTCATCTATTTTATTATTTTCGAACATAAAAATAACAATATATTTCATCTTTTTTAAAAATAAAATCTTCATTTTTTATTTTTAGAAATGCAAGTCAAGAAGAGAAATAATTAAAACCATGTTCATTTTTTTATTTTAATTATCAAACGAACTTTAAAATATATTCAAAATCATCAATATTAAATTAATTTCTTGTTTTTTTTATATAACAAATTCTTTAGAAATTATTGGTTGTTTTTTTTTTTTTTTTTTTTTTTTTTTTTTTTTTTTTTTTTTTTTTTTTTTTTTTTTTTTTTTTTTTTTTTTTTTTTTTTTTTGTTATAAAGTAGAAATTATTCCAACAAAATAAATGGGTAATTTGAAATTTTCCACAAATTAATATTAAATTTAGCATTAAAAAAACAATAGCAAACTACAATTTCATTAAAAATAAATAAATAAATAAATAAATAAAACAAATGTCACTGCCACTCAACAACAGTTAATTTGGATCGAAAACAAAAAAAAGGTTTTCGATCTTTCTCTAAATGATCTAACGGTTATCAAGTGTCGGTCACATTATTTCAGATCTCTCACCGTTTATTGATTTTTCTCTCTCCTCCCTACAATCTCCCGTCTCCAAACACCCCTTTTCTCTCTCTAACCAGAGACAAAAAAAAATGATAAAAAAAAAATTAGCTGCCCTTCACGAGAACAAAAACTCTTCAGTTTCTTCCTCCTTCCCGAGGGCTAGAATGGTAATTTCCTCTCTGCTAATTCCCTCCATAAACCAGCTGGTTCCTTGAAGAAGAAGAAGAAGCGGAGGCGATGATTCTTGAATAAGCGATTAAATGGAACTTCTGCGATTTTTTGAAAACTTTATGGGGACTTCTTTTTTCTTTTATTTTTTTTTTCTTTTTTTTTTGCGAAGAGTGGAGTCAGAGTCGTCTACGTGGAGGGTAGAGATTGCGTGAAGGGAGTACAAAACTTGGCGTCGGCTTTCCAACACCGTTCGATGTCCTCGGCGATTCTCTTGGCATCCATTGATGAGCCGAGTAATCCACGATTTGTGAATCCCGCAGCATATAGCCCGTTTTTCCCTTTCCACCCAAACGGCTTCCTTGGCAACCCATCTTCTTTCCCAAACATTTCTCCCTCCTAAAATAATAATAATAATAATAATTAAAAAAACATGCTTTTAATCTTAATTGTTGCATAAATATAAAAAACTAAATTACCAAAATACCCGACGTTATTTCAAAATAAAATTAGAAATTAGCATGCAAAACAACTAATCAATCACATTCTAGATTAAGGGCAATGTGGTAATTTTAACTAAAAAGGACAAATTTAAAGGTAATTCTTTTGTAATTTAGCCTCAAATTTATAGGTACTATTTGCTACATCAATATAAAAAAACTAAATTACCAAAATACCCAAGTTATTTCAAAATAAAATTACAAATTAGAATCCAAAACACTAATCAATCCCATTCTAAATTAAGGGCAATATGGTAATTTTCAATTTTTAAAACAAATTTAAAGGGTTTTTTTTTTTTTTTTTTTTTTTTTTTTTTATTAAGCCTCAAAAGGCATTATTTGTTGAATTAAAATTCGAAAAAAAACGATTGAAAAAAAATTAAAAAAAAAAAGTGTGAAAGGAAGGTANTTAAAGGTTTTTTTTTTTTTTTTTTTTTTTTTTTTGTAATTAAGCCTCAAAAGGCATTATTTGTTGAATTAAAATTCGAAAAAAAACGATTGAAAAAAAATTAAAAAAAAAAAGTGTGAAAGGAAGGTAGAAAGCTTACCTTTAGCCAAGAGGGCACATTGCTTCTATAACCAGTAGCCATTATAACGGAATCATATCTTTCTATTCTTCCATCAACAAACTCCACCGCGTGACGTTTCAGCCGCTTGATGCTTGGACGTACCTACACATATCAACGGTCCACATTTTTTCACACAAATAGTGTATGGATAAATCAATAACTTATTCAAAACATTTTAAATTTACAAATTTATTATATAATATTTTTATTTAGGGACAGTTTTCAAAACATGAAATTGAAATTTTAGACCTCCGATCTAAACTAGTTTAGAGAATAAACATAAATAAACATATTATAGACGAGTACCTTAATATGTCCGGTTTTGATTTTGGCAAGGGTACCAACATCCAAGACCGGTGTCTTGCCGGACAGGTTCTTGAGACGAAGTGGGCCGATAATGGGCCGGTCCAATCCGAATTTGGCAGTGTCCCCAAGAATCAGCCTGGACACCATCAGCAGGAACCCATCGACAAGACGTACGGGCAGCCACTTTAGCAACCATATGGACAGCCCAAAAGTCGATTTTCCCAGCATCTCTCGTGGCAGCACGTGGACCTTCAATATTTTACAAATTAACAATCCAACCCCTCCAATTTTATCCCCCTTTCAAATTCCCCCCCCTCATCTCTTCCAAAATTGCAAATCGACCCATAATGGAGTGGAGTGTCCACTCGTTGTTTTTAAGGTTTCCTGTTTTGTTTTTGTTCTTTTTTAGTGCACTTTTTAATTGGATTTCAAATGATTTCTGATTACAACAATATATATATATTGGTGATTTATTGATTTTCCATTGAAAATAAATACCCAAAATTAATAAAAGAGAAAGAAAAAAATAAGGAAAATGAGAGAATTATTTTCTTACTGCGTCTCTGACGACAAGGGAAGGGCTGGCTCTGTGTTCACAGAGATCCAAACTAACTTCCATGCCGGAATTCCCACAGCCAACCACCAAAACTTTCTTCCCGCCAAACTCTTCGCCGCTTTTGTACAAACTCGCGTGCTTAATCGGGCCATCAAATACGTCCATTCCGTCGAGTTTCGGCATCACCGCCTCCGCATTTTCACCGGTGGCCACAATCAGCCACCGTGAAACGTACTCCGTCACCGTCGTGATCTCGTCGGGATTGCCATGCTTACTCCTCACACGCCAAAACCCGAGCGTGTGATCGTACTCCGCCTCCGCTACTGTCTCGTTGAATCTCGGCCGTATATCGAATCTCTCAGCGTAAACCTCTAAATAACTTACGAATTGGTTCTTGGAAGGGTACGTCGGAAATTCCACCGGAAAACTCATAAACGGCAGCTCGCAGAATTGCTTCGGTAGATGCAACCGTAGGCGATCATACGTTTTCAACTGCCATAACGACGCTATACAGTTGGATCTCTCCAGTACAATACTCGGTACCCCTTTTTGTTTCAAACATACCGCCGCCGCTAGCCCCGACGGCCCTGCACCCACTATCACCGGTCCCGGTACCCAAACTCGCCGCATCTTGTCTCCTCCTCCTCCGCCGCCGCCTATCTCCTCTGTAAAAAATGGGTCGTTTGAAAGCTTCCCTCCGATTTCCTTTACATAAGAAGCCATCACCCCCCTCCCCCGTCCACCCCGAAACTAATATCCCTTGAATCTTGGAGTGGATTAAGAGAGTCTTATCCGTTTAGAAGAATGAGTAATTTTTAATTTAATTTAATTTTTTTTTTCTAATTTGTATTTCGAACAACAATTTCGCGCATTCAACCAAGAGAGAGAAAGAGAGATTATGTGTATATATATTCCTTTTGTTCATATAATTAATTTATATAAATATATAGGACTTTATTATATATATATATATATATATATATATATTTATAACAAAATCCATAACTTTCTTTATTATTATTATTATTATTATTTTATTATTATTTTTTTTTTTTTTTTGTGGAGAGAAGAGGAGTGATCTGACATTCTTCACCACATGGATAAGTTAACGACTTATCATTTAAAAAAGGAAAATTATCCCTACAAATCTTCCTAATTTTACGGTTATAACGAACCGGGTAATTTATCTACTTATCTTCCTCGTTTTATGGTAAATAATTTATCTACTTATCTAAAAACTGCGAGTAAAAAGGAAACTATCTCTGTAAATCATCCGAATTTGACGAATCTTACATGGTAATTTGTCTATGTAAGAACGAAAACTATCTCGGTAAATCCTGTAATGAATCTGACATTACTGCATGCCTTGCAACACTAATATTGTATTATTACCAGTTAAATATGAATTTTTATTTAATCAACAACACTAATTTCATATTATTAATCTAATAATTTAATTAAAACAAATTGTAGATTTTTTCGCCTTAAAATTGGTTTACTCTTTAAATTTTTTTAAATGAAATATATATATATATAGATATATTATTTATTGTGATGGTTTTTCCGTACATCCTTAATTAATTAAATTTGAATTTCTGATTTTAATATATATATTATTGGGATTGACATAGGAGTGGGTTAAATTTGATGGGAAAGAAAAAACCGTACCAAAGGACAGGACATAATTATACCAATTTTATTTAATGTACATTTATTTAGTTACGTAATTCTTCATAGAAGTGACGTTATTTATTTTTAAAAAATATGAAAAATATTTTTTAAAATAACAGTACACCAATTTTTATTTTAAATTTAATTAAATGCACCTCTACGTTAAAATTATATATATAAAAGATAGGATTACAAGTTCAATCATATGTTAAACATTATATTGCCCATTTATATATACTTTTGTCTAAATTTTAACCTTATAAAATCATGTCTATTTTTTGTTTTTTAATATTGAAAAGGATGATATGTATAATTTTATTCTCGAAAATATAGAAATTTTTTTTAAAAAGAAATTAAAATGGACTATAAAAATTTATATTTTCAATTAAAAAAGAAATATATGTCACTCAGTTTTTATAATTAAAAATATTTTTAAAAGTTTCCCGACTAATAATTAAAATAGATAACAAATTTCAACGTTATAAATAGGTAACAGCAAAGGGGTTTGGGTAGAGGAAGGAGAGAGGATGCGTGGATAGGACATAATTCAGTTATTTTCCTCTTTTTATTATTATTATTTTTATAAATAATCTTTTTTTTTAATGTTATATATATATATATATATATATATATATTATTTCTTTTTTTTTTTTCAATCACAATCAATCATCATCTTCACATTCCCTCCTTTGTCTTATTCAATAATTTCATTTTGTTTTATTTATAAAACAATGTTTTGATAACAATTTTTATTTATAATTTTTAAACTATAAATTTACATAAATAAAATATCTTTTTTATATAAATTTACACAAAAGAATCTAAAGAGCAAAAGCAATTTTTTTTTATTGCATTCAATATTTTAAAAAATACAAGACAAATAAAAAATATTATCATAGATAGTCTTAAATTTAGCATTAATAATCAAATACTTAAATATTAATTTCCCTTCTATCAAATTAATACATTTATTTTATTCCTCTATATATATATTAGTTATAGTTATGATAAATAGGCTAAATTAATAAAAATATTATTCAACTTTTTATTCGGTCTCTCCATAGTATATAAAATACTAAATTTTGGAAACTAATTTTAATTAAAAAATACATTTATGCTAACCTCGCTTCTAAAGAAAGATTCATTAAACATCAAAAAAAGTTCGGAGATAAACTTAATTTATATAATATTATTTTATATAGAAAAAAAAATATTATATGGGGACAGATCCTTCCATTTTGGAAAGTTAAAATCTAAAAATTCAACCAATAATATTTTAAAGGAATAAAATGTTAAATAAGGGGAGAATTAATTTAATATATTGTGTTTTTTTCCACAAATTTTTAAGGTTAAAAGCCTACTCCAAATTAGAGGGAATAGGGTTGTAGCTTTATAGGCTAGGGATCCAAAAACCTTGAAATTTTATTTATTTTATTTTATAAAATAAAGAGTTTGGGACCCAAAAGTTGTTGGCTTATTTAACAACATTTTCAGTCCCTCCCCATGGGAACTGAGAGGGTTACGTAAGCCTGCCCTATACCCTAAGTAAAAAAGTGTTTTCTTTTTTAATTTTAAATAAATATTAAGATGGGCCCAAAGGTTGGTGGGAAAGCCCAATGGGCTTTAGGAGCACGCTCGCTTGCCCGGAACTCGAAAACAGGGCCTACATAGGTGGGCCTCCATTTGTCCCTAGGAACGCATTTAATTAAAATATAACTATTTCTAAAGGATAATAATTCCTTTTTTTTTCTCATCTTTTCATCCTAGTGTGGCACTTCTATCCATATAAAATAAAATAAATAATCATATTATAATAATTGTACTTGCCTACTTTACCTAATAAACATAATTGATGTCGGATAACTTTATATTACAATATTCGGGAACTCTAACCGCATTTGAAAAATGTGTATATATATATATGTTTTTTTTACTATACTATCGTTTTTTTTTTATCACTTAAATTTTTATTTTAGTTGAGTTTGAATGATTTTTAGGTTAGGAAATTCTATAATTTGTAATTTTATTGGAATATTTTTATCGTTTTTTCTTCAATTAAATGATGTTAATATGATTAGTGGGGCCATTAATTTATTTAGGTGGTGGATTAATGATGATTAAGGATATATTGAGATCTTATTATAAGGTTTGTTTAATTAAAAACTATATAATAAAATGGATTTGATATCAAAATGCCAAATTCAAACAATTGTATAATATCTCTAAAGGCTCATAAAAATAAAGAAAAACAAAACTAGGGTAAGCTTAATGATAGGTTTGCAACAAATAATGGTAAGGCCAAAAGGGTTTATTATAATTATTTTTTTTTAAAGACTCAAATAAGTCAAACCCTACATGCCCCATTTAATCTCTTTTATTATATTTTTTTAAAAAAATATTTAATTATTTTCACCCATCAAATCTTACCTTGGTAACATTTATTTTATTTTTAGAACGAGCATACAGTTAAGATATCTACCTTTTTATATTGAGTGTGGCGGCTGGCTGGAGCGTCAAATTCTCATCCTTTTTACTTTACATGCTCGTTTGTAAAACAATTAGGTCTAACTTGAATTTATGGCTCTCGAGTATCTCCATCTAGAGACAAATTCTCATCCTTTTTACCGTACATATTCATTTATAAGACAATTAAGTTTAGCTTGAATTTATGGCTCTCGAGTACCTCCATCTAAGGTCGCCTACTAGGTTGGTATAAAATTGGTGACTTGGATTATTGAATTGTCAATTTAATATTTTATTTTTTTCATTAACTATGTTAAAAGCTTATTAACTTAACATCCAATACGTCATAAATGTTTATATGTGAATTAATGGAACGTTTTCCATAGGGTTGCATGATTAATATGTAATGTGGTGCTAAACGACAAATTGTTGTTAGTCTATCCCGTTCGAATACTATTTCACTTTTATATATTGCCTTTTAGTTCATTCATAAAATAAATAAATAAAATAATAATAATAATAAATTCGCTGTTTTATTAGTTGAACTATAATCATAACCATTATGTTAATTTTTTTTTAAACGAGATTAAACTTCAATAATTACTAAAATATTGGTTAATAAGTTAAAATTTAAATGAATTGACCTAATTATAAGATTAAATTATGATAGTTATAAGTTTAATTAGATAGATTAAAATGTTGGTGTTATTGGTTGGAGTTGACATATGAATTTTAATTATGGGCATAATTATTATATTTTGATTTGACGTTAATTATTGAATAAATAAAGCAATTATGGAATTGCCCAATAAAATATATTATTAAACGAAACTATATATTATACCATTAAAATGTACTATATCTTGATATGATCTTAAACAAAGTCAATGTACCATTATGAATCAAAGTGGGACCTAAGTAAATAGAATTAATTCTAACACCAAACCCATAACGCTTTGGGAAGAAGTACTTAGCAAGTCTCAAACTTTGGTCGATGATCTAATCCCATACGGAGATGCTCTTATTATTATGGGCCTATTTTTGGGGATAAAAGAGTCTATTTATTGGATTTTATTTTTTATTTTAGAATTAAAACAAATTGAAATTCGAAACTATGTGAGGTTATGCGGATATCCATCTATGAGAATTCGTCGTTTAAATGGAAAATGAGAGAGGGAGTAGAGAGAGATTTCTTTATGGGAACTAAATAGAGTTGAGAACGGAGATTCCTGTTCTACACCTCAACCCCGCCCTGTTGACTCTTTACAGCTTTTAGGAGATAAGGTATTTTTTCATAACGAGCAAATCATAATGATTGTTGGTTCTATTTATTCGTTTTCTTTTTATTCTTTATTTTGATGTATTGCAGTAGTGTAACGACCCATGCCCTCGATTCAAATTAGGATTTAGAATCCAAATTCGACACCTAATGACCTCAACATTTCCCTACATCTTCTGCGACATGGTTTAGTTACTTCTTGTACTTAATGACCAACATGAGTCTTTCTATCATGTTTTGTCATCGCATCTTAGAAAAATTCCTAGGAGATATACGTTCCTTTTCGATAGCTCAATCGTAGTAACTTCAAAATTAAGTATACTTAGAACAATTCTATGTTGGGTGATCTCGTACGAGCTTTCTTAAGATGTATGTAAGTAATGACAAAACATGTTGGAATGAGTCGTGTTAGTTGTGAGGATAATGATCCAAATCCTAGACCTCGGTCGTTACAAATAGATACTTAAACAGTTGACTTGGTAATTATAAGTAAAATATTACATGCGTGAAAAAGACAAACGTGAAGGTGGTTCAAATAATAATCTAAACAAAACACACACTAAGACATGATTAATTATGACTTTGCTTCTTAGTGATAATCGTTAATTCTATTTTAGTCTCTACACGTTTACGTTTGCACTATTTTATAGCCGGATATTATTTTTAATTTTTTTTTAATTTGTTAATAACGTAGTTTCGAGTATGTGTGTGCGTGCTACTATGTTACCACGAGCATGATATGGAACTAAAGATGTTAAAGATGAACAATGGGTAAATTCGAACTCGAGTAGAAGTAATATATCAGTGACTAAAATGATTATTTTTTAAAATTTAAAACTAAATTAGGCATTAAACAAACAAAATTAAAGTTTAAGGACCAAAATAGAACAAACCAAAAGTGAAATTTAAACCGGACTGTAGTAATAATATGAATTTAGAATTCCCCTCTCTCCCTAACAAACGCGTTTTAAAATCGTGAGACTGACGATGATACCTAAAGTGAACAATATTTGTTAGTGGTGATATTGGGTTGTGTAAAAATTTTCATAACAACTTTTTAAATATATATTGTAAAAATATTATATGCACATTCCAAACATAGTTTAATAGATAAAATAGTGTTTGTTTGTTTTTTCAATGTTGAAGTTTTGAACTTTCACGGTTATATCTTCGTCGAGATAAAAAAAAAAAAAAAAAAAAAAAAATTGT